ATTTCATATGTTTTCTATGGTTTAGGATTGATTTTAATATGTCTTCATTATGTTGTAAAACGTGCATAAAATTATTTACTTTTCAAGCTGTTATACCAATTATAAATATGATCACGAAAGATTGGATAAAAATAAAAAGTGATCAAGAGAGAAATTTAATGATACGAAGAGCGCAAACTGCACGAATAATTATTATTTGTTCCTATTGCATAATGGGATTACAATGGTTTTTTGTTTCTGTTCTGCCTATTTTTGGAGTGACAATGAGACTGACACCTAATATTACTGATCCAGGAAGGATACCAATGCCTTTACAATCTCATTATATTTACGATATAACAAAAAGGCCGCAATATGAATTAACATTTATTAGTCAAGCAGTCTATGTAGGTATCGGTATGATGGCCTATACTGGAGTGGACAATTTTCTCAGTCTCGTGGTTTTTCATATATGCGGACAATTAGACATTCTTGAAAATCGTATGCAACATTTGGATAAATACAAAAATTATCCCAAAATACTGAAACGCTGCATAGAAAAACATATTCGTTTGCTTAGGTTTGTTACTTATAAGAAAACGTATATGTATGTGATAATCTGTATAAAATATGTGATTGAACATATTTGGTACATAAAATGTCTTCCATAGAGCTATTGATATCATTGAAGATACGTATAACGGAATACTTCTCTCTTTATTTATATATTTCGCTATACTCTTTGCTTTCTATGGATTTCGGATAATTAGCGTAAGTATTATTGAAACTGAAAATTGAATAAAAAGACGGTTATGTCTAAATTGTTCTGCTGAAAAATTTTATACATTTTAATATGATTATAATCAATAAGTTGTTATATATACATTTAAATTTACATGTTATTACAAAATTAAATATTATTACTAATTAGAATAATTATGTTGTATCGTTTATGTTTTTCATCATTTTCATAACTTAATTAGCTATTCGATGAGGGAAACTATATGTCGATCACTCACTTAATCTATTTCATATCCTCAATTATCAATATATTTACACACATGTGCCTATATTGCGTCCTTGGCGAAATTTTAGTGGCTCAGGTAATGAGTTACATGAATATTTTATTTTATTTCAGAATTATGTAAATTGATGTTGTATAATTTTGCATGTTAACTATAAACTACTGTACACATACAGAGGAAAGGCCTCTATTATGAGATATCGAGTTCATTTTGGGTAAATACTAGAAGTCTATGGGCAGAATTAAAAAAAATAATAGGTCATTTGAAAGGGAATTTAGTAAGCTGTAAGATAATGTTATATAAAATTAAATTTAAATTTCATTTTTTTGAAAATTAAGGAAACATAGAAAGTGAGCAAATCACAAAGTCAAAGAATTGTGCTCCTAATATGGCCCGAGAAATCGATAGTAAAATACAAAGTATATCAGTATTGCAATTAAAAAACTTTATTTAATGTTCCTAAAATAGAAACAAATACATCCAGCGTGCACAAAAAATGAGCATGCGGTAGATTATACTACCCAGAATTCGCCTTCAGGTAGTTGGAATCAAGCATCGCAGAAATAGGCACTCGACGTTTATTCCGGTTATTCTTTTTATTATTGTACAATAACACTTATACTTTAGCAACGATTGTCACGATAACGTAGGAGCATGGGTTATTTCATATTATTAGAAATACCCTGGGAATCTCATATTATGATTTCCACGTCTTACGGTTTTACGATCACCAAATCTAACTTCTGCAATTTAGCAAATCAACATATTTTGTATTTTTCTATTAGTACGACCTTATTCTATCACTATATAAAGAATTTATTGCCAAATATTTATTTATTAAATAATAACAAGATTTAAAGGCTCATTTCAATGAAACTTGAAGACATCCAAATTCAAAAATCTTTTTTTACAATGGCTACAGGCATGACTTGACAACGAACTTTCTACAAAATAGCTTTCAATCCAAGAGCAATAGATGTATGGTAAAACCAATAGATAGCGCTAATTAGTTTAGCAGAAACGCTACTATCTCATATTAGGCGCCTATTTAATTTAGTGGTTTCCTCTAGTAATCACTAATTTTTATTTATATATGAAGTAATGTAATAATTGATATCTAAAAGTGTTTTTAATATTTTAAGTGCAACAAGGTATACTATGCGGCGTACAGTAATAAATGGTATACTATGGATCCAAAAGTTGGAGGAGATTTGTTGCTCTTAATGACAAGAGGTTCTAAACAGATTTGTCTTACCGTTGGAAAAATGTCTCCTGTTACAATGGCCACATTTTGCAGTGTAAGATATTTTAATATTTAATTATAATTATTATATTAAACTATTATTCCATGTCATAAAAATTTCATTGAAATCTATTATACCTGTATAAAATTTAAATTATTTATTTTATGTACTAAATTTAAAATCTTCACCAAACTTTATGTTTATTTAACTGTTAAATTTATATTGTTAATCATACTATTATATAAAAAATATATTTTTTAGTTAGTAAAAACATCCGTTGGTTATATATCCGTCTTGCATACAACAAGAAGATGATGCAAAGTATGAAAAATAGTAACTTTTTGCCAATATTATGCAATTTTTGATAGAATACGATAGAAATGTGCCGATATTAACACGTCGTTTGCAAATAAATATATCTTACTGCATTATTCAAGTAGAATATCTTAGAATTCTATTAAGTAACGGTAAAAATGTGTTAGTAGCATAAAAAATGATGTCGGAAAATTTAATTAACTTGAAAATTGAAATAACCGTAACCTGCAGACACTTGTTAAGTTGTAAGCTTTAAAAACGATAAAAAGTGCTATCTCGAGCATTTATGCGTTTGTCACAATTAGAGCACGAATGTACGTAATCTGCAGCGAGTAATAAATAACGAAATTAATTTATCGCATGTGCATGCAAATATACGCGAAAAGCTCTACAATTACGATATTACAATTTTATATATATATATATATACATATATATATATATATATATACATATATATAGAATTACTATACAAACAACAAAAGAGGAAAATATTATGTAGTGAGCAGAGATTACTATAGTAACTGTTATCAACGGACATATTTTAATGTATATGGCCTATTACTAACTGTAGTTATAAACTATAGCCGATTATAGTAGTGAGAGAGAACAATGGATATATATACATACGTTCTTTCTTTCTTAACATGACATCCCTGTTATTAAATTTTTTTGTTCGCGAATGTTTTGTGCGATGTTCGATATTGAAGTGATGGGAACTTCATACGAAGGTACAGAATATTTTATACTATGTTCATCTTTCTCAAAAATTATTATAGAGAGCATGCGCGAGAAAAGTTTTTCTCCGAATAGGAGGTAACGTCGATTCATGAAAGAGAAGTAGACGTCAGTCGCCAGATAACATTCAACATGGAAACTTCAAAATATAATGGATACCAAGGTGTTTATTTTCTTGATTATTGTAAATGACTGTAATTGAGAAAGTGTCAATAGAAATATTTTCACTACAACTTGAGCGATTAATGATAACATTAAAAATTTTTAAATTATGCATTTCATGATAGTATTATGCATTTATATTGTATTTCATGATAGTATTTGTGTCGTTTTATTAAAATATTAGCTACATCTAATTTGAAATTTTGAGTGATTCTTCTTTACTATTTTTTCAACTTGCGTGATTATTATGATTAGACCTGCGGTTATTGAAAAGTAAAGTGTTTCTAAACATTGTATTATGCATTCAATTAAGTATAATTAATTTTATATTTACATATTTAACTATGGTTTTACTTAAGCATGTTTTAAAAATAATGCAAACGATCTTTTTAATCAATTTCGGACTTATTAAGATTTCTGCAGGTAGATTTCGAATGGGCGGTAAAACTAAATCGTTTCGCTTTAAATTTGATTGGACTTTGGCCTAAGACTGCACAAAATTTTCGACAGAAGTTAATGTGCAATTTTCGAGTGCTTGTCGTATTTTTGAGTGTAACACTGGGCCTCCTTATTCCTTCTATACATTCCTTAACAAGAATTTTTGGAGACATTGTATTAATGCTAGATAATCTACAGTTTACTCTACCAGCTATAAGTTGCTTGATAAGAATCGTAATTTTCTGGTGGAAACAAGAAGGTAGACTAATTTTGATATTTATCTAAACTATTAAATACAGTAAGCAATATATAATTTAAATATTATATCATAATTAATATTTAATATTTACAAGTCTCTAAAATACCTGAAAACTTTTTACACAAATAAAACTGTAGTTATAAAACTTTATAATATGTATTTATAAGACTATACATATACATATATATATCTATTTTTATATAAAGAGTGAACTATGCACATTCTAAAATTTTTTTAATTATAAGTACTCTATATGCATTTTTCTTATTGAAAATATTTACACATAAATTATTTCATAAAACATAACTAACAATTTTTACAAAATCCACAATTTCATCTGTTATTACGTATATAAAAATGTTAATGGAAAGTCATAAAAAAATCCGTATGCTTGTATAGATAAGATATTTACAGTTATATATATATAAATAAAATGATTGAATATATAATGCAATCAAAATTTCATAGTTTACAAGTCAAAAACCTATAATGCAACCCAATGCAATGAGAAACGCAGGCAATAGGAACAGGAAATATAAAACGGATTACAACCTGTCAGAAATCGTGTATTTTAGTATACAGTTTCTGAATAATTGAAATCTGTTATTCTCCCTGTTCCTATTGTCTATGCTTTTCAATTGTGCATTAAACTTTATATTTTTATTTCTTACATATTCTATAATATTATTTTTTTATTAAAAATGCAAAAATATATTCCTTTTTACTTTTTCAATTTTTTATCGCTTATGATTAAATTTTTGTAATAGTCTCTATTCCGATTCAATTATTTGTTAAGTGATAAAAATTTTTAATATTAACATCTTTTTAAGCTATCGAATCGATCATGAACATGATCATGGAGGATTGGATAAAATTGAAAAATGCTGAAGAGAGAAGTATAATGATCCAGAGAGCCCGGTGTGCACGTATAATTATTACATTCGCATACTGCATGATGGGAATAGGATGCTTTTTTCTTATCGTTCTACCTAGTTTTGGAATATCAATGAGAGACACCACCAACGTTACTGACCCAGGCAAACCAATGCCCCTACAAACTCATTACATTTACGATGTAACAAAAAGTCCACTGTACGAACTGACATTTATTAGTCAATCTGTTTATATCATTATTGCCATGATGTCCTATAGTGGAATCGATAATTTTCTCGGGTTGTTGGTTTTCCATATATGTGGTCAATTAGATATTCTGAAGAACCGTTTAACAAGTTTGGATAAATGTAAAAATGCTCACAAAATACTAAACAGTTGTATAACAAGACACATACGCTTACTTAGGTTTGATCCATATGAAGTACATAATCAATACTTCACCTATATACATATATCTAATATACGGACCATCTTTTATAGAGTCATTGACATTATTGAAGATACATATAATGTAATACTTCTCTTTTTATTCGTATATTTTGCGATTCTTTTCGCTTTTTATGGTTTTCGAATAATTGCTGTAAGTATTTTTTATTTCGTGTAATTTATTTAAATAAAATGTGATTTTTAACTTTGAGAAAATAATTGGGAAATATATAAAAACGTATACATTTATCAAATATCTAAAAATAAGGCTTGGAAGAATCTATCAATAATAATAAAAATAAGCAAGCCCATTAAAGCCAACATCAGTTGTTCGGATGCACAATTTATTTTCGTGTTAATTTAACAAATCATATCAAAAATTAATTAATATACGTTTCGACCCCTATATTTGGGTCCTTATCAATATAAATCTAAATCCGCTTACATACTATACGCAAATTCCAACATTGCGTTACGTGACGGTACAGCTCGTTCTTCTTTATCCAATTTCCAAGTTAGATAAAATGAGAACGGAGTCCAATACATTATGTCAAAAACATTATGTCAAAAAGTAGAACACATTGCTCATCCAATTGTCAGATATAATGTAGCCATATATTCAAAACTGACATCAAGATCTTGTGGTGTCGACAGTCAGAGACGAAAATGAGCAATGTGTTCTACTTTTTGACATAATGTATTGGACTCCGTTCTCATTTTATCTAACTTGGAAATTGGATAAAGAAGAACGAGCTGTATCGTCACGTATCGCAATGTTGGAATTTGCGTATAGTATGTAAGCGGATTTAGATTTATATTGATAAGGACCCAAAATAGGGGTCGAAACGTATATTAATTAATTTTTGATATGATTTGTTAAATTAACACGAAAATAAATTGTGCATCCGAACAACTGATATTGGCTTTGATGGGCTCTTGCTTATTTTTATTATTATGTATACATTTATATTATATCATAATTTTTCGAATTAATATCAATATTTAAAAAATTGTGTTTTGTCTTATCCTATAAATTCATATAGCTATTCGACGAAGGAAATGATTTATCATTCACACATTTGGTTTTCTTTATATCTACATTTTTAAATTTATTTGCACATATGTGTCTATATTGTGCTCTTGGCGAGTTTTTAATAGCCCAAGTAAGTTGTATTTTTTTTTTATTTTTATAAACGTTGTATATACAACGCTCTATATATTAATACTATTTTTCATTTAACAAAGATGTTATTATTAATAAACAATAATTATTATTTTTCACACACAAATAGCGAAAATTAATATTATAAATATATTGATAACGTAATTTTATTAAAAAATTAAATGTTGTGAAAATTTAATGTAAACTTTTTGAAAAATTAATACATAATTTACATTGCATTTATTGTTTACTTGAATGTATTAATTTACATTTTAAATAACAGTATAATTTGATTTATAATGAATTTATTTTATTAAGAAATAACATACAGATACAATTTTTATCCAAAAACGTTTTCAATATTTTTTAGTGTAATGAAATATATTATGCAGCCTACAGTAATGAATGGTACTCCGTGGATCCAAAAATTACACAAGATTTATTGTTTTTGCTAATAAGAGGTGCTAAACCGATCTATCTCACCGCTGGAAAAATGTTCCCCATGACAATGACGACATTTTGCAGTGTAAGATATTTTTATGTTTAATTATAATTATTGTAAAAAAAAGGCATTTAAATTATTTTAATATTTTATATACATGTAATAAGTCTACATTATAATAATTTAAAAACTTTTAAATATTTTATTTTTTATTATATCCATGTGTATTTTAGGTATCTATGTATCTATTTTATGTATACATTATATCTTAAATTTCGTAATTACACGTCCATATTATTTATTACTAAAAATATTTTTTTCAGTTAATAAAAACATCAGTCGGATATATATCTGTTTTGCATACAACGAGAAATTATTAGAAAAATAAAATAAATCTAAATGTTTTTTAAAAATGTTATTTTTTAAAATACAACAATCTAAAAATTGTTTAAATATTAAAATGTTATTATAAATAAATTTACTGTATGATTTGACAAAAATGTGTTAGAAATTATATTAAATAATAAGAAGCATTCTGGAATTAAATTTAATTCTATGTTTCAATATTTTAAAAAATCCATTTTCAAATCAAACCATCAAATATCAACTGTTGATATTAATTATAGTATGGGCTCCTACAGACGAGCGATTTTGTAGCGCCACAATCGAAAGCGTCGACGCATTCATACGGAGCTATTCTGTGGCGCTACAGAAAAATGTCGCGAATATGTTCATATGGGTCACATCGTTGCGTGACAAGAAGCGTTGCGGATGCGTTCGGATCGGCATCGCTTCTTGTAACGCCACGATGTCGCTCATATGAACATATTCGCGACACTTTCTTGTAGCGTCACAGAATAGTTGTATGGCTATAATAGACTCATTGTCAAGAAACATGGTTTCTATTCCTTTTGGATGGTCATGAAGACGGCCATACCTACCCAAAGACGTACAATTTTACATGGAGTAAGAAAATTGTACATGTTCAGGTAGGTATGGCTGCTATCGATTGCAACAACATTCAACCTTGACGCTTTCAGTAAAAAAATCAAAATCTTGAACAACATTTTGAAAAGCCCATCTCCCCTTCAAGCGACCGCGACCAGGCTTAAATATGTATGTATTGTTTTATGTTTTACATGAATAAAAGTCATGTAAAGTTACTCACGTCTCATACTTGTCGCTATGGGTAACAAAATCACTACAGTGGCCTCTTGGTCTAATATAATAATATAGTATAAAATAGATATGTGAAGGGGAGGACAAGACAGAGAGAGAGAGAGAGAGAGAGAGAGAGAGAGAGAGAGAGGGAGGGAGAGAGAGAGAGAGAGATAAAGATATACACATATGTACTTATTGCGTCACACACGCATAACGTATAAATTCGATCGGGCAACCTCGACACGATACACCATAGTAATTACAATATAATACCGTATTATCCCATATTTGCAGTTCACTTACTCTTTTCTGTTTGTTAATTAAAAATATTTTAATATAAAAAATATTTTGTTGTATGTCTAAATAAAGTATATATTTCCGCTTAAAACTGTCTCCTTATTGTTTATCGTTTGTATTAGAAGTGACAATGAAAATGTAAGAAAGGTCATCAATACCATTATATCACTTTGTTTTAGATTATATTTTTTAAATAAAAGCTAAAAATTAATCTTCAGAAACTTAAATACCAGTTAGAAAGTATTTTCTATAAGGTATAATAGTTATTATAATACTGCTTTTTCAATTTTGCAATTATTAACTTTTTAGTAAAATACACAAAAACGTGCGACTAAAGGTAATAATGCCACATATTTCTATTCTTTACTTTTCACAGGAGTTATATATTTCAACATATAGTTTTAACATAAATTTTATAAATTAAACATTATTTTGGATTAATGTATTAATTATAGGACAAATTTTTTTGCACTTATAATTATTACTTATTAAATTCTTTGACTTTCAGTAACATCATAGTATATAACAAATAAATGAAATGCAATTTGCAAATATATACTTTCTATTAAACAAAGAACACTATAAGTATTGTGTGTGTGTGTGTGTGATACTTAATACGAATTCTTCTTAACTACAGTTAGAATTTTATAGCCTTTTCCAGAAGTATAGGAATATTTCATATGTACGGGCACTTCTTTCAACAGCATAATCAACTTGCAACTTTTTATTCACAAATGTCTCACGTGAAGTTCTTGGAAATTTGATGAAAATTTGAAACAAGAGTTAACGCAGGAAATTTAAAACTTCTTGTTACAAGTCGATTGTTCGATAATTTCAAGAAGTAATATTAAAAGCATGCGCATAAGAAGTGTTTTTTGCTGTTCAAGAGGTAACATCGATTCATGGAAAAGGCAGAGACGTCAGTCTTTAGATAACACTGGACATGGAAAGTTGGAAATATGACCGAGGTACTTATAGTCTTGATCATTGTAGCTGTAAATAAAAATTTTAAGGAAGTATTAACTTTACTTGCAATATGTGCAAAGAGTGCAAGTATTTGTAATAATAATAATTTATGTCATATTATATCATCATTAACAGAAATGATTTATTATCACTTTTTATAGTGTATCGTGTTTTTTAATATCTGAGTTAATCTTAATATATGTAGATACATTAATATCTGCATTATGTTAATAAATGACATGTTGTAACCTGTTAGCTAATTACGGCATATTTAAGCTCATATTTATTACTAGCTATTTGTTTCTTCTTATGAATAATTTTTAAACTTACATAATTAAACTTCTAAGCAAAAGTTGACCGATATATTATTTTAAAAGTATTAAATAACTTTTTGTATATTTGAATTAATTATGGTGTTATATTATAGTATATTTTGAATTAAATCATCTTCTTAACAATCTTCGGACTTATCAAGGTTTCTGCAGATTTCGAATGGGCGGTGAAACTAAACCGTTTCACTTTAGATTTCCTTGGACTTTGGCCTAAGAACGTTCAAAATCCTTGGCAAAAGCTAATGTGCGATTTTCGAGTGCTGATAGCTTTCCTGGGAATAACGTTCTGCCTTTTTATTCCTTCAATACATTCATTAATAATAGTTTTTGGAGATATTTTACTGATATTAGATAATTTACAAATTACTTTACCAGTTATGAGCTGCTCGATTAGAATCATAATTTTTTGGTGGAAAAAAAAAGGTAAACATCATTTTTATAATTTATAAGCTACAAGTATGATAAATAATATATGACTAAAATATTAAAAGAGAGTTGAATACTAATTATTATATATCCTTAAATCCTTCACAACATATTTATTCACAGATATAGAGATTCAGCTCATAAATAGATTCACCTTATTTATTATATATATAGTTAACCATGTTAGTATGCCATTTAAAAAATTTATGAGTATATTAAGTATTTTCTATATCTCACAAATTTATAAACTTATGCTATTATAAATGTTAGGAAGAATAAATTAAAAATAGACATGTATAAATTAAAATAAAATCTTTTAAATAAGATTCTTGTCGCCAATTTTTTGTAAATAAAAATATTATATAAGTTATAAAAAAGAATATATTATATTAATCTTTCCAGTATATGCACATAAACACGTATACATACATTTATGCCAATAAAAAAGATTTATATATATATATATACATATGTAAATAATATTATTATACATACATGATATATTTCTTTCGTAAATTAATTAATATTTCTGATTTTAAATTATAATATTATTATGCTTTAAACTTTAAAAAATTAAAACAATATAACAGTATTTCGTATGCTTTCTATGATTTAGAATTGATTTTAACATATCTTCACATTATGGTATAAAACGTGCATAAAATTATTTACTTTTTAAGCTGTTATACCGATTATAAACATGATCATGAAGGATTGGATAAAAATAAAAAATGATCAAGAGAGAAAATTAATGCTACGAAGAGCGCAAACTGCACGAATAATTATTATTTGTTCCTACTGTATAATGGGATTACAATGGTCTTTTATTTCTGTGCTGCCTATTTTTGGAGTGACGATGAGACTGACACCTAATATTACCGATCCAGGAAGGATACCAATGCCTTTACAATCTCATTATATTTACGATATAACAAAAAGGCCGCAATATGAATTAACATTTATTAGTCAAGCAGTCTATGTAGGTATCGGTATGATGGCCTATACTGGAGTGGACAATTTTCTCAGTCTCGTGGTTTTTCATATATGCGGACAATTAGACATTCTTGAAAATCGTATGCAACATTTGGATAAATACAAAAATTATCCCAAAATACTGAAACGCTGCATAGAAAAACATATACGTTTGCTTAGGTTTGTTACTTGTAAGAAAACATATATGTATGTGATAATCTATACAAAATATATGATTGAACATATTTGGTATATACAATAAAATGTCTTCCATAGAGCTATTGATATCATTGAAGATACGTATAATGGAATACTTCTCTCTTTATTTATATATTTTGCAATACTCTTTGCTTTCTATGGATTTCGGATAATTAGCGTAAGTATTATTGAAACTAAAAATTGAATAAAAAGATGTTTACGTCTAAATCTTCCTGCTGAGTAATTACATACATTTTAATGAATATAATCAATAAGATATTATATATACATTAAAATTTACATGTTATTACAAAATTAAATATTAATAATAATACTAATATTAATACTAACAGGAATAATTATGTTATATCGTTTATGTTTTTTCATAACTTAATTAGCTATTTGATGAGGGAAATGATATGTCGATCACTCATTTAATCTATTTCATATCTACTATTATCAATATATTTACACACATGTGCCTATATTGTGTCCTTGGCGAAATTTTGGTGGCTCAGGTAGTGGGTTACATAAATATTTTATTTTATTTCAGAATTACGTAAATTCATATATTATATAATTTTACATGCTAACTGTAAACTACTGTGCATATATAATAATGACTGATTTTTATTTACATATGAAGCAATGTATATAATAATTGATATCTAAAAGTACGTTTAATATTTTTAAGTGCAACAAAGTATACTATGCAGCGTACAGTAATAAATGGTACACCATGAATCCAAAAGTTGCAGGAGATTTGTTGCTTTTAATGGCAAGAGGTTCTAAACAGATTTGTCTTACCGTTGGGAAAATGTCTCCTGTTACAATGGCCACATTTTGCAGTGTAAGATATTTTAATATTTAATTATATTTATTATATTAAAACATTATTTAATATCATAAAAATTTAGTTAAAATCTACTATACCTATTATATTTAAAATTTGAATGATTTATGTATTAGGTGTACAATCTTCATCAAACTTTATGATTATTTAACTATTAAATTTATATTGTTAATCA